TCCCTCCAGTTTTTCCACTTCTTTGTACATTCCTTCACGTCCATTCTGATAGTTTAACCAATTTCCCTTTAGGAATTTGTTGACATTTGTGAATCCCTGTATTGATGCTATGATTGTTATTTCTTATATCGAGACAATGACTCATAAAATCAAACACTGCCAAAAATGCACAGCAGGAATCAATGCCGCTGCTCAGGCCAGTCAAAATAGTTGCAACCCGATGTGTAGTTACATTTTACGGATGCACATCAGGTTAAGTCATTACTAGTGAAACATACGTCATGTATAACAGTATTGCACCAATGCAACAAGTCAGTTTGTGAAATTTCTTCCCTTCTAGATATTCCAAGATCAACTCTTTAATGGTATTATTGTGACGTGAACTGAGGAGTTCCAAACCTCCTCTCACATGAACATCTGTACAAAAACTGTGCACTGGGAGCTTCACTGCATGGGTTTCCATGACTGTGTGCAGAGGTGCACATATGTTTGGTCCGTGCCATAACAGTGTTAAATGCACAATTAAGAATTAGAGCTATAACGGGTCGATTGCTCTACACAAATCCAATGCATCATTAAATTGTACTCAACAACCACCACCACGACTGTCACAGCAGCCAGGTTTAACAACTTGGCAGAAATCACGCAGTCCCTCTTTTGCTCTTAGTAAAAATGGTTTGCTTGCAAGCAGCTGAAGCTACAAATTAAAACCAGACAGCTTCCAGTAGTAAAAATCTGTCCCTTCCCGACAGACGCTCTATATTCATATGCCGATATCTCTTTATAGAGCTTATGATCCGATGTGAACTAATGCCAGCTCATTGGTATTACTTCTGTTGTTTGAAGCCTTTCGTCAGCATTTTACGGTATTACTGAAGGTTTATGTTGTAATACTACAACCAGTCACAAGTCTTATCACTTTCAACTGCAGTCACAAGATTATCAGGTAAGACTCTGCACACAGTTTGCACACGAAGGTCTTGCAGTGGATTTAGGGAGTTCAGATCTCGTGCTGGAGTTCTGCTCAGTTTGTCTCTGTGCTGCTCTGAGTCTGCTCTGTTCCTCCTTTATTCTGGATTTATTCTTCTGCAGTCTCTGGCGTGGTCTGTACAAGGAATGTGGTGAACTGCCAGCCATGTGCTCTTGGACCAGAAAAGCCAGAGGGCCACTTGCCGCCACAACTATTACAGCGCTTCATTCGTACTGAGCCAGTGTAACCTAAAACCCAGCAGAGTCCTCTAAAATGAGACTGCACGGAGGAGCTCTGATGGCAGTTCAGCTCACTGATGGGGTGTCACAGGAGAGCTGTTCAAACACAGGACTTATATGACTTGTATGTGTTTGTGTGTGTGCAAGAAAGAATACCAAAAAGAAATGACAGATTTTTACTTTACAAATTCAATGCAAAAGAAATCAGTGAGAGTGAGAGCATCAATTTCAGTGTTTAAAGACAGATTTGCTTAAGTGTAAAGTACAGTACACCACGTATACAGCTGGTGTAGCTGATAAAGAATCAAAGCAAGTGAAAGAGATGCACAGCATTCCCAGCAAAAAAAGGACTGGTTTGACCCAAATGTGTCAGCATCTCACCCTGGATTTAAAAACAGGCCTGCATGCAAATATTACCACAGCGAGCTGCAATATTAAAGCAGCAGGCTGCTAACGTGGCACAGCAGAGCGACCAACAGGTCAGCATCTGATCCTGCATGTTTCAATATTGGCGAATGAATCTACATTGCGTCCTCCACCTCCAGCAGTCGTCCTGTGGTCAAGTCACAGCCACATCATGAAAGCCACCCCACCCCCTCGCAGCGCCTACTGAGCTATCTGTGCTCCATTTACACCAATTGTCATTCAGATAGGGCAGGGTACTGCTGTTTATGGCTACCCGTGACACACATTAATATGAAAAGCATAATTAAGAGCAATTAGGCTTTTCTAGGGAAGGGGGTTAGCTAGAAACACAGCATGCAAAATCTGTTGTGGCGTTTCATCCAGTAATATTACTTGCATGTATTACTTGTATGTAACAACAGTAAATGTTTAAAATGGGGATAGAAGCAGCTTGAATTGAGAGAGGATTGCCATCACTTGAAAGGGGTAGCTACCATCACCGTTGCCTTTGACTTACAGCTTCAAGATAACCCATGAACGAGAGACTCCTACTGATCATGTGCGGCTTATTGTGACTGAATCCTACAAAACAAGCCACACAAAACTACACACATCTGTTGATTAAAAGAAATCTCCGAAGAAATCTTAAAGTTTATATTGAGTTTAAGAGGGGTCAGCAGATATCCATCCTGCACATAAATACCTTAAGGCAAAGCAACCCATTCACAGACCACAGGAAGCAGGTTCTGCATGGGGAACATGCGAGGACTTGCTGAACGTAAACTAAAAGAGGGGGGGTAAATGCACTGGGGTATATCCAGGCTGCAGAAACTGTTCTGGGGATGGATAATTGTGGGATGTGGACAGAAGAGAGAGGGGTATGCAGGTTCTCTAAGTGCTTACTTGAGAGGAGTGTCATTTTAAACACACACACACACACACACACACACACACACACTTATCAAAACACATCACCCCCGAGTCACTCAGGGAAGGGAGATTAAAGGAGCCAGGGGATGGCCACATGCTGTGTTATCAGGCTAATGAATGCTTTCTGGTGGCCAAGCAAAGTTTTACATATGAAGAAGGGCAAGTGTGAATAACATGTTTAATCTTAACACGCCAAGAAGTCAGCTCAGGGCAAGAAGTCTTTCTGTTTTTACAAATAACAGCAGCCCACACCGACACTCACTGGAGCTTTTACTTGCCAGAAGGTTACCGTAGTGAGAAGGACGGAGGAAAAAAGACCTGCTTGCTTCTTTAATTCATTCATGGTTAAAGTGAATTATGTTGGAGCTTGATCACACATGGGTGAAAGTGAAAGGGCCAGAGACAGGGGCATCATAATCTTCAAACTTCCTCATATCGGTATTATGGCAAATCACTTTAAAAGGAATGAGTGACAGAGGGATGAGCCTTTTCCTCACATATCACAGCTCCATATCCTCCATGTAACATACACCAAGACTGCCATGATCCTGATGGTCTTGAAAGGGGAGATGACCAAAAATGATCGAACTGAATTTTTCCTGCTCAAAACGAGCCTTTGGAGGATGACTGCACAGGTAAGCAGGACTAGTCTATTGCAGTTAAAGCACACCTGTTGCCTTAGTTACCAGGACTCTTTTAGCTCTTTAAGAAAGAAACATTATGGTAAAATGGGTTAAATTAAGCCCGACAAAATACAGATTAAAACCTTTTTATTTTCTATTGGTAGAAGGTCAAAATTCTCTACTTGAATGAAAAACATTCATGCATAAGTTTGAGCTCATTAATAGTGGTATCATTTTTAAAAAAATTCAAATCTCCTCTTTCATTGATGCACACATGTTCTCTTTAATCATAGCATATTTAAGTGGTTTTTATATATATATATATATAAATATTAGAGGTCACTAAAGAGCCGCATATGGTTATGATCTGTCAGGTTTTAATGTAGTTGTTAAATCTGTGGCTCTTTTATGTCAGCAAAGAAAATGCTGATGGAGAGAGTCATTGCTTGGGTGAGTTATGGCAAATTAATAGCCGGATTTAAGTGGTTGATAGTTTGAGGCTGGGACAGCCAAACTGTCACACACCCATCGGCGTGGGAAGACAGCACAGGTCTCTCTAGAAAATATATAAAAAATAAAGTTATTAAATGACCTTTGAGCCACTTTCTTACAGCTTGGGCTGGTTTTGAGCTACTGTAGCAGCAATAAAACAACTTTTATTTAAATCTGCGTCATTTTTTGGAATAAACGTCACTGATGGAAAATAAAAGCGGTGACTCCTCGTGCAGCTGTCTCCCAGAGCCGCGCGCTCGCAGGCAGCTCGGGTATAAGCAGATACTCAGAGCGGGTCGGTACTCACGCACTGCCTCCTGTTTGGGGTCCAGCTCGGAGCAGGTCTGTTGAAGTTGGCCGATCCTGCCCTGTAGCCCCCGGACCCGCTGGTTGGTGGTTGTGAGCTCGTTTTCCAGCTCCTGGAATATGGAGTAGGCATGTTTGGCCAGGTCCGACAGCTGCCGCAAGGTCCGAGATAGAGCCACATTACTGATGGAGACCAGATCCTCGAAAACCAGACCCTCTTCGTTTGGGACTTGATACCTGCACAGTAACTGGGGTTCCACTATTCTTTTGGCAAATGGCATATTGTTGTGGAGCGGGAAATAAATCCAAGAAAAGTCACCCAGGAGTGAGAAGAAAGTTGCTGTGCCCCCTCGGCCCCCGATCCAGTTTGACTGAACTCAGCTGCTGCTGCCGCTGGTGCCCCCCATCCTTTCATTTGTTAGAGAGGACTGTTGTGCTCCTCGCCGCTGCGCCGGGTCATCTGCTGCCCTAATGCTGGTGTGTTTTTCACTGCTACGAAGTAAAAGAGGTGGTTTTTAAAAAGAAGCATGTGGGAAGTCCCGGAGTGGAGTTCCGGGGATGAGTGGATCCGGACTCCGCCTGCTTCAACCCTGTAAACACTCCACAGCAAACGCTTCAGATGCATTGGAGGCATAGCAGAACGAACACTACAGAATATTAAAAGAGCAATTAATTAAAAGGCCATATTTTTAAATTCTTCTTCTTCTTCTTCTTCTAAAGTTGTTCTTTTTTAGAATAAGCATGGATGTTGGTTTTCTTTGCGTTTTGGGGATGGACAGTGAACACTTAACTCCCTGCAGTCTGGTGGATTTCCTGCAGCAGTTTATGCTATAGCATGAACCTCATGTCTTTGTTTACGTAAAGAAAAACACAGAAATCAGTGACTGGGTAACATTAACTGGACTGTAATGCAGTGAGGCTCTGGGGCATGATGCATTGCTTTCAGGGAATGTTATTTGTATAGCCCAGTATCATCTGTAATGGTTCAAAGGTCCTCACAGGCATACAAAATATATTAAAAGCAGGGAAAAGACAAGCAGACAAGCAAACAGGCAAACATATATGAAAAATACAAAGTATTACTGAGGAAAATGTGCATCTGCTTTGCATCTAAATCTGATAAAACCTGTGGTTAGTTTTACAAAAGTGCCACTACTTGCTCAAATTAGATCCATGCAGGTTATTTGCAGTTAAAAGTCCTTAACAGATGGCCCATAAGCTGTTAATAAGACAAAAAGAAAATGCAGCCAAATAAAAATAAGAGGAAGGAAAGAGAGAAAACTAAGTTAGGAAGGTTAACGAAGTGTCCTTAAATGTGTTTGAAAAAAACATTGCGCAAACAGTTGCTTGCTTTAAAGGAAAATATATGCTAAACTGGGAGACAAAGAAGGGATTTCATTATTGGGGTAATATATTAAAATGTCAAAGGTCTCACACATGTGCACCTCAGCAGTTACTGAGATTACCTGAAAACAAAAATGTTAGTTATCATTTCCTTAAGATTAGTTAAGAAACTTCTGAATTTCTTTCGAGAATTCTTTTGAGACAAAGTCCTGATGTCTGACCTCCTCCTTGTTTTTCTTTCTGGCTTTATAACCTGCCTCCACCTGCAAAGCATCAGAGGAGAGAAGGACACACATGAAGGAGAGAAGGAGACACTTCATGTCATTGTTTTTATTTTGATTTTAGTTTACCATACAATATTCAGCAGCGCTATCTACTCATAGATAATAATCATATCTGGGAGTAAAAATGACCCAGTCTTTAAGTAAGAAGAGCTGCTCCATTGTGAGCCATTGCTGTACTGCTGTTTTATTGGGTGTGTTTTTACCAGTTGGTTTTACGAATTTGATTAGATGCATGCAAAATGGTCAGGGTTTAATAAAAGCTTTGGCAATATTCAAGTTAAACACATCACATGTATTACGTGTCATAGAGAGGGTGTTTGCTAACTAGTGGTAGATGTTGGGGACATTCAGTGCATTCATGCCAACCATTATGTTTTTTAGCTTTTGAGTTCTTGAGACTGCATTTGAGCTCCAAAGTGACTGATGTGCAGTCCTCTATGCCATTCAGCTACGTCTCTGACAAGGCAGATGTCTTGGACTGCAGCTTTCTCCTCGCTCTGCTCAGTTCTCCACCTGCTGCATATCCTGGTTGATGTGGCCCTGCAGCCAGCAGCAGATTTCACCCAACAAGATGTACCGCTGCCAACTGCAGTCCAACACACTGGAGCTGGAATACAATACCAACCTGGTCAGCATGCAGGTAACGAAACAGAAGGTGGGATGGGCTGTGTATCCGAGTGCTAAAAATGATGCATTTGTTTCAATGTTTCACAAGAAGCTCAAACAACACAAACATATTAACCCAAAGTAAGTCATGTTGTTTTTTTTTCTTTAGTTCTAGTCTTAAAGTAAATCCAGAGTATTAAAATCTCTTAAATCTAACTTAATCTTCAGGAAGTCTGTTGAAAAAGAAAAAGACTTGATTTAGTTTATTTGCTATAGGGATATCCAGCACATTTCCTTCATTCACTCTTGCGCAGTAAAACAACAATAATTCAGCTTTCACGTTGTCATACCCCTGTGTAGGTTAATCTTCACTTTTAACTCTGTTTGCAGACCGAGCTTCATTCACATTTGCTGAATGAGTGTTTAGTTAAATCCCACCAGCTGACGGGGCCAGAATCGACAGAATTGACAGCTCCAAAGCCTTTCCTGTGGCCTAGCTAATGTCCACACCAGAAGTGCAACCTTTGCAAAGCCCAGCCGCGGACAAAGGCGGGACGAGAGAAGCTCCGTATGTCGTCATCTTTGAGTAATGGTGCTGGAACAAAAGGCCGAACTTGAACAGACAAAAGCTGGTAATCTTTGTTGTGAGAAGAGTCAGCTTTAACTTGAAGTGAGCAGGGGCGATATGGACACAGTTTACTTACCGGGAACTGAGAAAAACGTGCTCTCCACGTCCACAGATCACAACATTAAAAAGCGCTGACAGGTGGAGTGAGTTATAATATTTTTACAACCTTGGGTCCTGAAATTCATTTTGTATGTTATGTACCACCCACGTGAAAATTCCACCACAAACACTCCCCAGTGGCTCGTGAAGTTTAACAGACAAAGAGACACAAACAGAGAAGGCAAGGAAGAGGAACAGGAGAGAGGATTCAAGGCTAAAGGATGACCAGAACGAGACTTTAATTTAAAGCAATGTCAATG